AAAAAGGTTGTTTACATCCTGGCTGTATCCGCTGATTCGGTCCCGTGGCATTAGACCACCCAGGCTATAAATGGGTACCTGATTGAATTTGAATTGAGACAATATTTAGCCAGAAAAACAGATACAGAGCGGATAATAATAAAAAATTATTAACATGGCTGAGCCAGTTGTTGAAAACCGGAGCTCTCTTTGAGGCACCTGATATTATACGATACATTTATCTCAATGAAATCATGATAACATTTAGTATCATCTGGACTAGTACAATAGCATGGTGGTAATAGAACATCTCATAATGTTACACAGTTATCCTTCAATATTTATTTATTTTATTATTTATTATTTATTTATTCATACATACATATACATGCATATATACACACACACACACACATATATATATATATATATATATATATATATATATATATATATATATATATATATATATATATATATATATATATATATACATATAAATGAAGTTAAAACATAAGTATAATGGAGAGCAGTACAACCTGGGTTGTACAGTAATAAGGTTGAACAAGAGGACAGAGCTGTCAGGATTATGTCTAGTTGGCAATTTTGTTTTATTGCAGTAATTACTTATTTATTTACATGATAATTTCCGATAAAACGTTTTTGATAATTTAATAAAGCCGGTACTGTAAATATGGTAGAAATACTTAGACATTACAGTTTAGGGCATGAGGGTCGAGAGTGTCCGGCCATGTTGTCCTCTGGGTTACCACTGGCTCAGTACCAGGAGGGCAGGAGGGAGGGAGGAAGTGAAATGAGGCAGAATGGATGGAGGATGAGAAGGGATGGAAGAAGAACAACAGGAAAATAGGGCGAGAGGGAGGAGAACAACGGGAGGGGAGGAAGGTAAGGGAAGGGGGACAGGAGGATGGATAGATGGATGAGGACGAGGAGGAGAAGCAACGAGGGTGTAGGAAATAAGTGAGGGGAGGTGAGGAAAGAGGGATAGATAGACGGATGGATGGATGGATGAGACTGGGGGGGTGGGAAGGAACAACAGGAGGGAGGAGGCGAAGGGAGGATACCTGAGATGATTGTGTGACGTGCAGTTCTTGGAAATGGAATTCCCGCTGTTCCCTCCTTTCTCCCCCCCCTCCTCCTCTCTCCACACCCTCAGTTTCCTCCCCGTTCGTTCTCCCTCCTCCCATTTTTCTCCTTCCCTCCTCCTCCCTCCTTTTCTCCCTCACTTTTCCACCTTCCCCCCTTTCTTCTTCCTTCCCTATTTTCCTCTATTCCATTCTCTGTCCCATTACTCTCTCTCTGTTCTTCTCTTCCTCCTTTCCAATTCCCCTCTTCTCCTTTCTCTGCTGTTCTCCTGTTCCTTCAACACTCTCGGCTTCCCTTCCCCTTATCAACCGTCCCTAGTTCCCTACTCCTACCCTTACAACCCTAGAGTCACCCCCCTAATATCCTTCCCTCCAAACCCCTATTATTTCACTATCTCACCTCCCATTTATCCTTCCTTCCAACATTTCATCTTCCCTCTCCTTCCTTTCTTCCTTCGTTCCTTCCTTATCTCTCTCTCTCTCTCTCTCTCTCTCTCCTCTCTCTCTCTCTCTCTCTCTCTCTCTCCCACTCTCTCTCTCTCTCTCTCTCTCTCTCTCTCTCTCTCCTCTCTCTCTCTCTCTCTCTCTCTCCTTCTTCTCCTCTTCGTCTCTGTTTCTCCTACCAGCCCCATCTTCCTTCTCAATCTAACACCACCTTCAATTGTTATTATCATTACTTATTATTCTTGTTGGCATTGTTGTTGTTATTGCTATTATTTTACTTATTGTTATTGTTGCTGTTTTATTGTCACACGGACGAACAAGACAGTATTACTATCTGTATTTCATATTTCATCGCCTCATTTATTTCCCGGAAGCTTATGAGTCGGGTTGATTGCAGTCTACCAAAATTTGTATCACGATTTTTTTCTATTTTTAGGGGAATATTTTTATTATTTTTTTTTTGAGGGTGGGGGCGTTTATTATTTGGGGTATTTTGGAGACTCTAATTTCACACTGTGATCCAATTCTGCAATATTATTTACAGACTGAAATTATTTTTGTCTTATTGTATAGGTAGATTTACTAGCAAAGTGGTGTGTGTGTGTGTGTGTGTGTGTGTGTGTGTGTGTGTGTGTGTGTGTGTGTGATGTGTGTGTGTATGTGTGTGTGTGTGTGTGTGTGTGTGTGTGTGTGTGTGTGTGTGTGTGTATTCAAGACACATTATGGAACACAAGACAGAACTCCAAGATTACGTCAGCCTTAGCCTCAGGTTTACGTCAGCCTTATCCTCCAACATTCCGTCAGTCTTTTCCTCCAAGGTTCACTTCATCTTTACGTCAGCTAACACCTGTAGTAGAGTGAGTAAGAGCTGTACCTCAGTCAGGTAGGTGGAAGTACTGAAGGCAGTGTTGATGAGCTCATAATAATAATAATGGTGACGAGGATGGCCGGCCCAACAACCACACCCTGAGTTAACGACATGACCCAGTGCCAAGGAATAGTCCGGGAAGACCGGACAACTCAGCAACACTGGCTAACCATTACGGAACACGATCCGTAAATCGATTAACATCCAGGTCCACAATTGCTGCTGGGTAGACAGAGGCAAATGGCGTAAATAACTGCCCATAGTTTCACCCTGCCGGGATCGAACCGGGACCCTCGCTTGCCGAGGCAGGCACCTGATCACACTCACACATTCAGCACCAAAATTAACCTGCGGTTAATTGCATTTATTAAACAGTTTACTAGGAAAATGTCCTTCAAGGACATTTCTCCGACCCCCAAAAGGTAAGTGGAAATTAATCTATTATTCCTCATGTCCTGATTCCCAGACACTCATTTCCTCCTGTCTCGCAACTCTCTCTCCACCTTTCTCACCTGAAATATCATCCTGTACAGGTGTTTCTAATTAATTAACCTGGGCAGTCCCTCCCTACCTGTGACCCAGTTTATTTACCATACCTGATCACTTTTGGAGAGAGAGAGAGAGAGAGAGAGAGACAACACCAGACACTACCGGACACTACCAGACATCACCAGACACTAACACACACTACCAGACATCAGACACCACCGGACATCACCAGACACTACAGGCACTACCAAACATCACCAGACACTCCAAAACATGACTAGACACTACCAGACATCACCAGACATCACCAGGGTCTCTGGCCCAAAGACCCTCCAGAGACAGGCGGCACCTCAACGAACACTCCCAGGGCATCCACCCCCAGAGACCTCTCCAGGGACGTTAGTGCCCCAAGAGACCCTTCTTAGGGGTCCCAGGGGCCCTATGGCATGCTTGTTGTTGTGTCTATTTTCGTACATACACTTCCCGAAGTCCCTTACTTAACTGTGATTGGTGGAATATAACCCGCAAATTACAGCCAATAGGAGAAGAGAGCAGTCAGTCAGCACAACACCCCAACTTATGTCCTGGCTGGTCCCTGGGGAGCCACCGACCTAGGGTTTCCAGTGCACCACTGCCCTGGAACGGTTTCTGGGATGGTCCTGGGGCTGCGCTGCTGGAGTGGTACCTGCAGGCTCCCTGCCAGTCAGGGTCCCAGGTGTACCGTCGCTCCTGAGAATGCCTGAGGATGCCACTGATGTTGCAAGGGCTGGGGCACCTCCTGGGGGCACCCTGAGGGCGTTTCTGCCTGGGGAGGTTCTGATATGTCCACCACCCTGAGATAGACCCTGGGAGCGCCAGGCTGTGCATGGGTGCAGTGGTTTATGCTCCAATTTATTCTGGGAGGTGCAACGTTAAATAAATACACCGCCCATCACATTTCTCACCAGTATCATCGCATTTTGAAGAGGTAACGGAGAATAATATCAACAGGAAAACAATAAGTTGGAGTGTTGTGCACTGACTCTCTCTTCTCCTTGGTACTATAATTTGGCGGGTTAAAATCCACCAATCATAGTTAAGTAAGGGACTTCGGAAGTATGTAATGTACGAAAATATGACACAACAAACAAGCGCATAGGGCCCCTGGGACCCTAGGAAAGTCTCTGGGTGCACTAACGTCCTGGGGGTGTGATGCCTGGGAGTGTCCTTTGAGGTGCCCCGTCAATGGGAGGGTCCCGGGTTCTCCCTGCAGGCTATGCTGCCCTGGAATGGTCACTGTGCACTCTCTTCAATGGACCCCAGGTGCACCACCGACGGGAGGGACCCCAGGTCACCACCGACCCTGGGAGGGACCCCTGGGGCCACAAACCCTGGGAGGGATCGAGTGAGCTACTCCCTGGAACGGTCTCTGGGATGGTCCTGGGGGCAGCTCCTAGTTGGAGTCTCTGCAGGTTCTGCTGCTGTCAGGGTCCCAGGGGTGCCGTCGTCTCCTGACAATGCACCTGGGATGCCGCTGATGTTGCAAGGACCCTGAGAGCACCGTCCACTGGGGGCACCCTGGGGGCGTCGTGGCACCTGGGAGTTTCCTCATGTCACCACCCTGAGATACCTGGGGCGCCAGGCCTGTAGGACCCATGGGTACAGATAGTTTATGCTCAATTTATTACTCTGGGGAATGCAACGTTAATAAATACACGCCCATCACATTTCACCAGTATCATCGCATTCTGAAGAAGGTAACGAGAATAATATCAACAGGAAAACATAAGTTGGGTGTTGTGCTGACTGACTGCTCTCTTCTCTATTGGCTATAATTTGGCGGGTTAAAGAATATTCCACAATCATAGTTAAGTAAAGGGACTTCGGGGAAGTGTGTAATGTACGAAAATATGACACAACAAACCCACTAGTGGCGCCTCTACATCTGGGAAGGCCCTGGGCTTCAGCAGCCCCTGGGAAGGCTCCTTAAGGCGTCACCGTCCTAGGACCCGTAAGTGCTTCCCAGTGAGGGCCTAGGCGCATCATTGGGCCCTGAGGCGGTGCTGCCTCTGGATGGGTTCGGGCTGATGCTCCTCTAGGAGCCCCGAAGGGTGCCTCCGCATCCGAGAAGGCCCATGGGTGGCGGCTCTCGCAGTGGCCCTCTCAGGCGCGGTGGTAGCTCCCAGGGCCCTCCCAGAGGCTGTGGTACTTCCAAGGGCCTTCCCATGGGCGGTGGTGCTCAAGGCCCTCCCAAGGGCGATAGTGCCCCCAGAAGCCTTCCCAGGGCGGCATCGGTCCCAGAGGCCTCCCAAGGGCTGCGGAGCCTCTGGGGGCCCTTCCAGATGCGAAAGCACCACTGGGGCCCTTACGGGGTTGGAGGCGCCCCTAGGGGCTCTTCTAAGTGCGACAGCACGAGGCCTCAGGGGCAGCCCAGGGGCCCTCCAGGGAGCAAGGCTCCCAGAGTCTCTTCAGGGCGGCAAGCCCGCTAGAGCTTCTCCCAGGGCGGTGGCGCTCCCAGGGGCCCCTGAAGGGCGGTGGCACTCCGCAGAAGCTGAAGGAAACAGCGTCCCCCAAGGGCCCTTTAGGAGGTGTCGGCGACCCTAGGGGTCCTCTCAGGGCTGGTGTTCCCCCATGGCCCTCTCGGCAGCGGCGGATCTCCCAGAGGCCCAATTAGGAGTAGCGACGATTTAGGGCCTTCCAGGAGTTTTTTAGGGCCTTCAGTAGCGACAATCATTAAGATAGAGAGAGATAAACTCATTAAACACATAATTAGAGACAGTGGTGAGAGTGGTGTGATGAGTGGTGGTTGTAGGAAGGAGGAAAGGTGTGTGTGTGTGTGTGTGGACAGGAGTTAGACTAGGTAGGATTCATCAGGTAGACAGGGACCCACCTGGAAACAACACAATCAGACATTTGTACCTCACATTCACTATAGAAAATAAAATAAAATAATATAAATAATAAAACCATTAAGTAATTCGCCAATAATTTATGACAACTTATACAAAATGGCGGCGATAAAATAAAGAGGAAAACTGATAGGAATTAGAGATAGATAGATAGATAGATAGATAGACGATTAAACACTAAATGAGCAGAGAGAGAGAGAGAGAGAGAGAGAGAGAGAGAGAGAGAGCTGTTAATCTTTTGTATCGTTAATGAGATTCAATAATTCCATTACACAATTTTCACTGTGTTGCTGTCGTCACAAAAGGGGGGCCGTAAACATGTGCTTTTGTAGTATGCGTTAGTGTGAGAAAATCTACATAAATGCGTCAATGTGCATTAAAAAGGGTGACTTTACACTACGGATTAACAAGAGTGACTTTATATTCCATCAATATGCGTTATAAAGAATTCATTTTAAGTCAAGTGTCAGGGGAACACAGCACACCAACCACCTGTATAGTCACAATACCATTTCAGCGCCATTGACACCAACGATTAAACTGCCGTAGGGAATTGGGGGGAGGGGGGGGGGCGTTAAGTCTGACCATTGGGGTGGCTGTGTTCTCACGGTAACAACTGACTGGCATTTAGAGGTCAATTTAATGTACGGGTCTCTGAGAATCCGTACCCATTGAACTACACAACGAAGTAATTATCGTTATGTATGTACTGGGAAACACACGATGGTAGGGTAGGGGGAAGGATGGTAGGGTAGGAGGAAGGGGTTGGGGGATAGGGAGGAGGGAGAGGAGGTTATCTAGCCCCAGGTATACTCCCACACCCTCCCCACACACCCTAAAGCTTCCTCTTACCACACTATTGCCCGTTGTGGTGTAGACGATCTAACCGTGAGAGTTGGTCCAGTGTCCGATTGTCTGTTGGGGTTTTTTGTCCAGTGTCTGATTGTCTGTTGGGGTTTTGTTCGGTGTCTGATTGTCTGTTAGGGTTTTGTCCAGTGTCTGATTGTCTGTTGGGGTTTTGTCCAGTGTCTGATTGTCTGTTGGGGTTCTGTCTTTTAGTGTCTCTGTCTGTGTACACTTTTCTGTTAATAAGGTGAAATGCAGAACTAAAGTGACCATCTGACTATGTGTGACGATGGTGCACAGGGCATGGGAGAGGCGCACTAGGCATAGGAGAGGCCCACAGGGCATGGGAGAGGTGCACTGGGCATGGGAGAGGCGCACAGCGCATGGGAGAGGCGCACTGGGCATGGGAGAGGCACACAGGGCATGGAAGTGGGGCATGGCACACAGGGCATGGGAGAGGCGCACAGGGCATGGGAGAGGCGCACAGGGGCATGGGAAGGCGCACAAGGCATGGGTATAATCAGGATGACTAATAATATGTCAAATATAAGAAAACCCATCTATCTCCTACCCTCCCTTCCCCCCCCCCCTCCCCCTCTCCCCTTCATATCCCTATTTCCACCCCCTCCCCCTCCCCACCTACCCCACGACCACACCTCCCATCATCAAATATATTAACCCCTTGACACACCCCTACCCATCCTCCCATCATCCATCCGCTATCTCTCATTCCCACCCGCTTACCACCCTCCCATCAAACCACCCCCACTCCCTACCCGCTTCCCAATTTCCCTCCAACCCTCGCCCCCCACTCCCACCACCCTTCTCACCCTCATTAAACCTCCTACCCCTTTCCCATCAACCCCCCACCTCCCAACCTCCCCCCCCCAATCATTAACATATAACATACCATATTTCTGAGTTACAAAAATCCAACAGCCTGACGCACTATTGTATAATAGACATTTAATTATTTTTCAGGTATTAAAATGGCCGCTGGACATGACTGATTGCCTTACCTCGTCTGATTTTTATTCAATATGGTGAACTTTGACCGGCGCATGTGTGTGTGTGTGTGTGTGTGTGTGTGTGTGTGTGTGTGTGTGTGTGTGTGTGTGTGTGTGTGTGTGTGTATGTGTGTGTGTGTGTGTGTGTGTGCGCGTGTGTGTGTGTGTGTGTGTGTGTGTAATAATAAAATAATTTTAATAAACGGTTTATTTATAGAGTTGTGTGTGTGAGAGAGAGAGAATTGGTGTGTAAGAGGTGTGTCAGGGCAGGTGTGAGTGTGAGAGCGACATTTACACGGCCACACCATCCTGTTTCAGCTCAGTCATGCTACTCTCTCACCCTCCCACTGCCTCTCCCAAAACCCTTTGCTCCCATATTCCTGTTACACATTCTCTCTCATTCATACACACACACACACACATTAAAAAAAATCACACAAGTAATCAAGACTTCCAAACAAGGTGATCTACCACAGGTGTTCTCTGTGCACTTCGCCAGGTAAACAAACATCACCAGGGAGGTACCGGCAGGAGTTCACATAAGTCGTAGTAGGAGACAAACAACACGATAAAACTCTCCTTCAAGCGCCTCCTCCGCCTATCACGTCTTCCACCTTCAGGAGTGTCTGGTAAGGTGGTAGGTGTTGGGACTCATTGCGTTTGCAAAGAGACTCATAATATGTACAGAGGATGAATTAGAGGTAAGTTAAGTTAAGGGCAGGGCAGGGCAGGGCAGGGCAGGTCAGGTTAGGATAGGTAAGGTTGGGGCAGGACAAGTTAGGTTAGGGGCAAGGCAACATTAAGTTAGGGGCAAGGCAGGTTAGGTTAGGGGCAGGGCAGGGCAGAGCAGGGTACTAGCGAGTGTCGGTGTTGGGCCAAGAGCGATAAGGGAATATATGTGGCAGCAATAAAGTATCAGGAATGTAATATATATATATGTGCTTACTTGTGCCTCCTTCCCGTCTCTAGTGATGGAGGAGCTAAGGGGAGACGCCACCAGCCACCAGTCATGGTGTACAGTCCCCCACACACTTGTCCCAGAGAAGATACAATCAACACCTGTTGTGCCCATGTGAGTCTCGCCTCCGCCTGTGGACACCTGCCAACGTGCACATTTCGGTGTTGGTGTTGTTGTTGTTGTTGAGATGGAGTGATGTGTTGCAACATCTTGGATCTTGAAGCAGCTAATACTTTATACCTGCTAAAAGTAAGAGAGTCACTTCGTTTATCTTAAGTTAAAAAGTAAGAGAATCACTTCCCTTCTCTTAAGTAAAAGGAAGAGAGTCACTTAGCTTCTCTAAAGTAAAAGTAAGAGAATCACTTCCCTTCTCTTAAGTGTTTCTTGGTAAGGCTTAACAGCTACTGCAGGTGTGGCGGTAAACTTTTGATACACCCAACACAACAACTGTTTTCATGCCAAAAATATCGATGAGCGAAGACTTATGCTTATGTTGGTAATAAATAATTTCGTAATATATTTATTTATTGATATTAACTGCTATATTGTGGGGTGAGGCGGTCGAGAAGATACAACCCTCGCTTCCTATTCTGAGTGTCGCTGGTTCGTATCCCAGGGCACCCCTAGTTACCTAACCTTACAATTGACGAAATGTAGTGTGTGTGTGGGGAGGGGGGGAAGTTTCAGGTAAACAAGCCCAGGTAAATAGTTACGCCCGCACCTGTGGGAATTCAGGTACACTCCTTGTTACTGCATTGTCTGTTGTCAATACCTGGCTTTCTGTTCCATACAAGTAAATACTTCCTCCTTCTCTAATAAATCCTTCTCCTCCTCCTATTCTTCCTCCTCCTTTTTCCTCCTCCTCTTCATCCTCCTCCTCCTCGTCCTCTTCTTCCTCCTCCCCTTCTTCCTCCTCTTCTTCATCCTCCAGTGCCAACAACAATGCCTCTTTATGTATACCTAATGTTTATATCTCAGTATACTATACCCGCACTGCCCGTAACATGCCGCCAAGCCTAGATGACCCAGTTTAAATCATCTGATATTAACCCCCCACCACTTTATTTCACCTTTTGGTTCGGTTAGGTTCGGTTAGGTTAATTTGGTAATGTCAAGATAGGTTAAGTTAAATTAGGAATAAACTAGGGTGTCTAATCTTCACGCAATCACACAATTTTATACAAATTTTAAATTCTTTCACAAATCCGCAATAAACTCAGGTTGAAACATATTGTTAAGAACTCTGGCAGGAAAAGCGCAAAGTTTGAAGGAGTGAGCAAGTTGGTGGTGGTAGAGGGCGAGCATTACAGGACAGTGCCTCGAGTGGAGGAGGAGGGAGACTGCACTCGGAGAAGTTACTCATTGTTGAAGATGCAAGAGAGTGGGGAAAGTGGAGAGGGATTTTCTGAGAGCTTTGGTGTGGGGCGAGGTAGAGTGGCTATGGAAAAATTTGAACAAGTGGGAGAAAGACAGACAACCACGTAGACAGCGATACAGACAGACAGACAGATAGAAAGACAGACATAAACAGACAAAGAGAGAGAGATAGTAAAGATGAAATGATAAAAAATGTTGAGAAAATGGAAAGACATAATGAGATAACAGAGGAGAGAGAGAGAAAGGAGGAAGTGGTAAGAGAAGAGAAAAAGACAGCAAGAAGCAGAGGAGAAAGAGGAGGAGGAGGGGGTGGAGAAGTAGATAAAGATCAGAACTGGGAAACTTAATGAAAATAGTATCTACCATCCTCGCTAATATCAGGGACCCGTGCA